CTCTCGTGAGGAGTAATGAGCAGAACAAAAAAGAGTAATGTCTCACCGGGCGTGGTGGCTCACACCTGTAATACCAGCACTTTGGGAGGCCGAGGCAGGCGGATCACTTGAGGTCAGAAGTTCGAGACTAGCTGACCAGCATGGTGAAACCCTGTCTCTACTAAAAATACAAAAAAATTAACTGGGCATGGTAGCGGGCCCCTGTAATCCCAGCTACTTGGGAGGCTGAGGCAAGAGAATCTCTTGAACCCATCTTGGCAGTGAGCTGAGATTGCGCCACTGCACTCCAACCTGGGCAACAGAGCAAGACTCCATCTAAAAAAAATAAAACTAAAAAAAGTAACCTCTCGGCCAGGCGTGGTGGCTCACGCCTGTAATCCCAGCACTTTGGGAGGCCGAGGCAGATGGATCACAAGGTCAGGAGATCGAGACCACGGTGAAACCCCGTCTCTACTAAAAATACAAAAGGTCAGGAGATCGAGACCACGGTGAAACCCCGTCTCTACTAAAAATACAAAAAATTTGCCAGGCACGGTGGCGGGCGCCTGTAGTCCCAGCTACTCAGGAGGCTGAGGCAGAAGAATGGCGTGAACAACCCGAGAGGCGGAGCTTGCAGTGAGCTGAGATCGTGCCACTGCACTCCAGCCTGGTGACAGAGCGAGACTCCGTCTCAAAAAAAAAAAAAAAATGTAACCTCTCGACATGTGCAAGCACTGACGACTGCAGGTCGCTGGATCGAATGCTTCGTGTATGTGGCCTTAGGATCTTCCTCTCCTCTGACTCTATCTCAAGGGTAGCCACAGATGCTGCTGAGAACAGGATGAGTCCCTGCCCCTAAGGGGGTCCCAGGAGAGCACACTCAAGGCTCTGCAGGATCCAAGAAAAGCAGAGTTACCCCTTGGTGGTGGGAAAGGTGGAACCTCATGGAGAAGGCAGCGTTTGGGTCTGGTGTCGAAGGCCAAACTGATAGAAGTCCATGCTGTTGGTGAAGGTCACAATGTGTTAAACCAGGGAGGTCAGCAAGTAGGAAGCCTGCTCAGAAAACACCTGCAGACCAGTTCAGCTGGTGTTTGGGTGCGTGCAGGTGGGTGGTTAGAAGGAAGGAGAGGAGAGTCAGTTGGCATTACCACACTTAACTCAGTTCCCTCCTGTAGCACTAGTCCCTCAGCAGCAGCTGTGTTGCAGAAATTAGTTTAGTTTAGTTTAGTTTAGTTTTTTGAGATGGAGTTTTGCTCTTTTTGCCCAGGCAGGAGTGCAATGGTGAGATCTTGGCTTACTGTAACCTCTGCCTCCTGGGTTCAGGTGATTCTCCTGCCTCAGCCTCTGAATAGCTGGGATTACAGGCGTGCACCACCATGCCTGACCAATTTTGTATTTTTGGTAGAGATGGGGTTTTACCGTATTGGCCAGGCCAGTCTCGAACTCCTGACCTCAGGTGATCTGCCTGTCGCGGCCTCCCAAAGTGCTGGGATTACAGCGTGAACCACTGCGCCCGGCCAAGATTTTTATTATTTCTGAATGGTTGCCCCTAGTGGATCTCTGCCTCCAGGACAGCTGTTTTCTCCTAAAGTGCATCTGGAATCGCTTTCAGGTTCACCGTCTTTCAACTTCTGGAAAAGACAGATTGAATTAACATTGTCCTCTTATGCTCCATGAACCAGGCTACCCCTACTGGGAGAGTAGGATCCATGGATGGAGCTCTCATCACCTTCCAGCCGTGCCCCTGTTCTTGGGGTCTGCTTTGCTGAAGTGTTCCTGGAGGGGGTTGGGGTAGGAAGGAGAGGGGAAGCAGGAGAGGAAGACTCCACACCCTGAGTCTCCAGTAGGAATCTCCTCTCTAGCCCTCAGCACATGACATTCAGTGACCTGGACACTTCACTTTAGTCCTCATCCAAGCCCCCCCCCCATCCTCTGGTCCACCGAGAAGGTTCTGAAGCGTATTTTGTACATTAGCATCTCTTGGTCCAGTTTGCCAGAGAAGGAGCTCAGTGTCTGTGGAACTGATGAAGCCAGTTCAGGTCAGAGAACTACCCCCATGCACAAACCAGAGACCTGGGAACAGCCAGAGAACTGTGTGTCGACTGGGTAATTCAATGCCATACCGCTCCCAAGAACTGGAAGAACCTGGTCATTTGTCACCAGAAAGGCTACGTGTCCCAGCTCTTTAACAGTGGAAACCTCGCTGTCCTGTTTGTGGAATATAATCCATCGGCAATCTAATGGTCTGTAACAATTAAGACCCAAATCAAAGGAGTTGGTTTTGAAGTTTCTAAAGCAGAAAAAAATTCTTTAAATTTCTTTGTAAAGATGGGGTTTCCCTATGTTTCCCAGGCTGGTCTTAAACTCCTGTCCTCAATATAGCGAAATTTAGATGCCTGGGTGGAAGAGCATTTGGCTTATAGTTTTTGGCTTTTCCGCTTGGTTTCTCAGAATCCTTGGAGCCCCTCTCTTCTTCTTACCACCAGTCAGCCTCCAACCCGTTCCTCTACCAGCCCCCTCCCAATTCCTTTTGAGAGATTATTATAAGTAGTACCTTCTCATTATAGGAATATTGAAAAACACAAAGAAAGTGGCATCTATAAACCTGCCTCCCATGGGGAACTACAGTTAGCATCTTGTATTTTATGTTAACCTTTTAAAAAATGTTTTAAGATGAAAATTCAAATGGATACTATTCTGATGAGACTTGGGCTAGATGGGGCACAGGTAGGGGCTTCTTGCTTTCAGTCAGATGAAGGAGGGGAACAGTTTCCACAATTTCTAGAGGGTCCTTCATTTTGCTTTCTTGATTGTTTTAGGGAGTGGCTGAGGCTGAACTGGAACAGAACCTGAGTCGGACTTTCAAAAGCCTCTTCAGAGCAAGCGATGAGGTGAGGGGTGGGGACGGGGGCAGAAGAACAGGAGGGGGCAGTTGTGAAGGAAGTAAGGTACCTAGTGTGTGGCAGGGACCAGGAGTAGCAATCTGGCCTCCTTTTCTTTCGTTTCTGTAGTCAGGGTAATTGAGGTCCCCACTCTCCTGGTCCATCCTTAATGGGAAAATTTATATCCCCACTGACACACAAGGTCAGAGAATGATTATAATAATGATAGCTTAGAAATTATGCTATTACCATTACCATTTTAACATGCATAATTGGTTTACCCAAGTCCAAAATTAATTGATGTCCCAACTCTCTTGAAGCAGAGGAGTTTAAAAACCTTTAACTCTGTAACCTGCACCCTCCTGTCTTACATGTTAGGAGTCATCATCACTATTGTTGTTTTATATACAGTCAATTCCTGCTCAAACTGTCCCATATTTTCCACTTTCTTTACTGATCACTTCTTGCATCTCACTCATTTGCACTGAGTTCAGTTTCTTTCTTCCTGAAGCATCCCCTTTAGTAGTTCTCTCAATAAGAGTCTGTTGGTAGTAAATTCAGATTGTGGTGCCTGAAGACATCTTAATTTTAATCTTAAAGAATCATTTATCTGAGTATAGAATTTTAGGGTGTTTTCTTTTAGAAAATTCTGTCTTTGCTTGTGAGTCAGCCTCGGGTCTAACCCCCTGTATGTTAATTGTCTAAGCCAATTAATTATCCTGGACACTGCAGGTCTGATCTGCAGTTTAACCCATCTTTGAAGTATTAATTTCAATAAATAGTTTTTTTTAATTTGTGAAAGTTTTATTTGGTTCTTTTTCAAATCATTCTGATCTCTTTTGATAGAGTCTTGTATTCTTATTTTTCAGTTCCTTTTATGGCTTCAATTATTTGAAGTATATTCATTTCTAATTCTTTTTTTTTTTTATTTCTCTGTCTCTCTCTCCCTTTTGCAAGCTCTATTATTTGATGTTTTTGGAGAGTCATATTTCACTGTTTGCTCCTTTTGCTGCCTTTTGCTGTGGGGCCTTGTTATGTGAGTGTGGGTTTTGTAAATTTGGTTTATAAACTCATCTTCAGCAGTACTTAATCTGTACCTGTCTGCTTCAGTTGGGCTTGAGGAAATGACTCCTTGAGTGGTTAAGGATTTCTTCTGCCAAGGATCCTGGGGGCATTACCAGCCTAGGCTCACTTTGTTGTTGTTGTTGTTGTTGTTCTTGTTCTTGTTTACTTCACACCTTGGGGGTTTCCAGATCATGCAGAGAATGCAAACTCAAATCCAAGCAGCTGGGAAGGCAGGCCTAGAGCTATGAATTCCCAAGGGGGTGTCTTTTGGTTTCCTCTTAGTACCAAGCTGAAACAGACGAATTCCTTTAACATCTTTATCATCATGAGGGGATTTTTTTTCTCATCAATTTTTTCACCGAAGGTATAGCATGTCAGAGACCCCAGATTTACTGGCTTTACCATGGAGTGGCATGGAATATCACATCTCCGACTTCTCATCATAGGCCTAAGGTCTCTTTTCTTGTTCCTATGGGTTGATAAACCTAGGTCTTCACATTACCAGGGTCTGCAAGGGCCCTGGGGCAGTTCTCAGCCCAGAGCTTTGGTTGTGAGCTCCCTCTTTACTTGACTCCTGTGAGAGGGTCCCGGGCTCTCTTGGGAGTTCCATGTGTTTGTTACAGCCTGCATGGTACTTAGAGGTCATTTGTCGTAACAGGGTTTTCAGATGAGCATATTTCCTTTGCATCACCCGTGACGTCATTTGTAACTCTTCTCTTTTCTTCCTACAGAGTGTTTTATCCATGCATAAAGTCTGTGAAATGGGTAAGAGACATGCTTGGGAGAGCCACATTGGGAACCAGCTGAATGTTAAATGGATGTTTCTGCCTGTAACTGCTATGGGCAGAAGCCCTGAGCCCTCCAGCTCTGAACTTAAAGTTGCCCAACCAGGGTCTCCTTGGCCTGCATAGGGCCGACTCTAACCCCAGGCCTGAGCACACAGCCTGGAATTCCTACTCTTGAGGGAGCTGTGGCTTCAAGATCTTAAACAGTAAGAGCTTGGAGGAGTCTTAGAGCTTGTCCAGGGCAAAAATCCACCCTCTGCTGATAAGGACCCCAGGATTGAGATCTTACCTCTACGGGGGTCACCCGGTGTATGCAGGTGGAGTGGGTGGGTCCCCTGCCCAGGTCTCCTCCATTGCAGTCCGCTGGCCCCTCTCCATCCAGGCGCCACGTTTCCAGTTCCCCCACATGGAGCCCATCCTTGTCTCCCTCCTAGGTTGGGTATGAGTGAAGGGTCAGAGTTGAGATTTGATTGGAGCTCATCCCCATGGCCCCTAGATCCAGCACTCTTCCCACAAGACCTTATTTTTGCTGCAGCACTGTGGCCTTGACATCATTCACTTGTATTTTTGTGAATAATGATGACCACTGTCACTTGTCTGGGCACGTGCTGACCATCTGTATAAAACTCTGGACTAACCCCCTTTAGATAAATTCTTTATGATCCTTGAAGCTTTCCGAAAAATGCTACTATTTTTAATTTCCAAAGAGGAAAACAGGTCTCAGAGGGCTAAGTAACTTGTCTAAAGTGGCTGAGCTGGGATTAAACTCCTCTGACCCTGCAGGCCATGCTCTTGTCACTGTTCAAAGAACATCTCCCTTCCCTCCCCCACACCCACATTCCCTTATTCCTTCACACTGTCTGTCACTCATTCATTCACCCATTCATTCATTCCTCAAATGCTGTGAGCACACGCTGGGTATGAGGTCAGGGCTGCATGCTCAGACTCCCAGACACACGAAGCAGCGTGGCCACCCTCGGTAAGCCCACTGTCTCATGGGAGGCAGAGCAGCCGGGGTGCACACAGAGGGGCCCTGAGGTACAGTGAGCCTGGGGCACCCGCCTCGTGGGGAGGCTTAGGGTGGTTTCATCACAGGGTGACACACTGGTCACATACCCCTTTGATGTGTCTCACAAAAGCCTGGAATGGCCAGCCGCTCTGCCTCTGGGTCTTTGTGAATCTGAAAATGACGACTGGCCCTGTTCAGGCACCAGCACTGAGGCTGTGCCCTGTGAAATTGCAGTGGTCCCTGGGCTGCCAGGGGTCATCACAGGCCATCCTCTGGGGGGACTGTGCAGCACCTTGAAGACAAGATAGGGGTCCACAGTGGGATACCATAGAGGGTCTGTGCAGCACGCGGGAGGCGACGGGATCCAGCCTCCTGGCCTGGGTTCTCTTCCTGCCTAAGAGGAACAACAGAGCAAGCCCTTAGGAAAATTCTAAGAATCTCTGGCAATATCTCCGAAGGGTCACAGTTAAGCTGGCTGGGAAAGGTTCAGACGGAGGGAGAGCAGGATCTGGGGGCTGGCAGGGTCTGGGATACAGCTGCTGTGTACCTGAAAAAGCCGGCGACTGTGGTTGGTCCAGGAGCTGTGATAATAGCCAGTGAAGTCGTGGCTAGGTGGGAGGGAACGTCAGCCTGCAGTGTGACCGTGAGATCACAGCTTGGAGCTTTTGAGGAGATGGGCTCACTCTGGCAAAGGATAAGGGAACAAAAGATGGAGGCGCTCACAAGGCCTTGCGCAAGTTCAGATGGTCTGTGAGAGGCAGTGAGGTACCCAGCCTCCGTTAGAGGCCTTAAAACGCAGAACCCTGGCCCGGGGACGGGAAAGTCAACAGGTGGCTTTTTTTGCAGGAGGACTTTTTGTAAGGACCCCAGAAGAGCCCAGCCTCAGCAGGATGGTCACCGAGGAGGAAATCCAGTTCTATGTGCTGCAGTTCAAGAAGTCTGGTTTCAGGTAAAGAGAGCACAGGGCCCAGACCCAGATGACAGACGATCGACAGATAGTGATCTTCAGCCCTCAGGGTGGAGGGTGAGGCCCAGTTCTCCTCCACCACAGCCCTCACGGGTGCCAGGCCAGCCTCTGCTTGAATGCCTCCAGTGTCAGGAGGCTCAGTACTTTTTGGTGCTCAGCCTGCTCTAGTTTGGGACGCTCAGCTTGTTCTTCCTTATGCTTGCGGAGCCCCCATAGGGCAGAGGTTTTCAACTACTTTTCAGTCATGGCTCCTCGGAGAATCAGATGGCAACTCTGGGCTCTTTCTTCAGAAAGACATAAAAATCCACATAAACTCAAAAAGTGCATACGTTTTGGTGCATTTGTCCTACTTCCCGATGTCATATTAGGAGGGGGCATCTTTGCTCCGCCTCCCTGTGTTCCTCTCAAGTGGGCTGCCTGGGGCAGGCGAGTGGCCTCTGGATGGTGAGGCTGCTCAACCAAGGTCCCCAGCATCAGCAACCTCCCCAGCCTCCAAGGCGACACGATGACATTCCCCGGACAGTCCTGTAGGGCCGGCTTCTGTGTGTCCCAGAAGACCACCCAGAGGCTGCCAGTTCACTCAGTGGAGTCCTGTGTCCTTGCACAAGGCCTCACTGCTAGAGCCTGGCAACTGCGCCCAACAGCATGGCGTGGGTCCTGGGCTTTATTCTCTTGCCCCTGCAGGAGGCTTTGCTCTTCCCAGGATGACTGGCCGTGCAGAGCAGGTTTCAGTTGGTGTGTGTAGCAGAGCCGTCTACTTACCGCCTCCCTCTTTTTACTTTCTGATCTCTCCCCAGAGGTCCTCTAAACTGGTACCGAAACATGGAAAGGAACTGGAAATGGGCCTGCAAAAGCTTGGGGCGGAAGGTGAGTGCCAGGTTCAGTGTGGTCTCCTCTGCACCCCAGAACCCACCCATGGGGCTCCCCATTGGCCTGAGCTGATATGACCTGGGCCAGAGCTGGTCGTGGACAGACCTGCTGGCTACCTCCTTTCCCTTTGGGGTTTGGGAAGTGACTCCCTTCAGGGGTTTCCCATTAGGATCTTTCTTGCTGGTATTTCCCTTGGGATGGTAGAGGGTGACGTTGGGGATGGAGGTGGGGTGTGTCTAGGTTACTGCAGCATCCATCCGGAATCCCCAGGTCCCCTGATGATACCCCAAGCCAGGGCTGCAGATGGCCCAGGGCGCCTCCCAGAAGCGACTTGGATACTGGAGCTCCCAGCCCCGGAGGAGCATTAGGCGCTCTCAGAGATGTGACTTCAGCCTCTGGCTGAGTCACCTTGCACAAGTGAATCTCTGAGTCTCAGTTTCCTCATTTGTCAAGCAGAAGATGGGTTTCCAATCTCTGGGTCTGCAGAAGGAGTAATAGAGGTCCCCAGTTTACATTCAAAATGTTTAAAAATCTAAGGGAAATCAAATTATTCCCCAGTGTGATTGCGCAGGTCACCAGGCCTTCATCAGCTCACCCAGTAGCCCTGGTTACCTTGTTGGTTCACTCTGTAAGTGAACACACTGCTATGTGCCAGGCTTCCTGCGAGACCCTGGGATACCATGGTGTGTGCACAGACCAGGTCTTGACCTCCCGAAGTTAGGTCTTGAGGCACTAGAGTGTATAACATCGTGGTTAAGAGCAGGCTGGGAAGCACATGGGCTGAGTCTAATCCCTGTGTGACCCTGGGAAAGGTACTTAACCCCTCTGATCCACTGTTGCTTCTTCTGCAATATGGAAGTGGCAAGAACAGTGCCTCCCTCATGGAGCTGTGTAAGGATGAAATGGGTGAAGGCACATGACCTGTTACAAGCAGTACTGGGAACCTAGTAACTCCATTAGTGTTCCTTGTCATTGTCATCATATGACTGACGAAAATGACCAAACTGCAGTTGGACAGACAAAATCTCTCAAAGCGTGGAGGAAAATATTGACAAAGGCACTGGGAAGGTGAATCCCAATGGGGCTAAGGTCAGAAACCCTCCTCTTCCGCAATTTCTTTTTTTCTAGAAACAGTCTTGCTCAGTTGCCCAGGCTAGAGTGCAGTGGCGTGATCTCGGCTCACTGCAACCTCTGCCCCTGGGTTCAAGCGATTCTCCTGCCTCAGTCTCCCAAGCAGCTGGAATTACAGGAGTGTGCCACCACAACCGGCTAATTTTTTGTGTTTTAGTAGAGACAGGGTTTCACCATGTTGGGCAGGGTGGTCTCAAACTCCTGAGCTCAGGTGATCCACCCACCTCGGCCTTCCAAAGTGCTGGGATGACAGGCCTGAGCCACTGCGCCCAGCCTCTCTTCCGCAGTTTCCGGTCGGATCTTCCTCTCTCCTCCCCCACCTCCTCCCATCCCGCCCCCCTGCCACCCCCTACCCAGTTCACATTTTAGCTTGGAACATTCTAGAGTTTACAAACCTCATAGAAGCCTCAGGATTCATTGTAGCCACAAAATCATTTTTGACCTTCTCCTGGCTCCTGGTTATGGGAGGAGGGAGGGGTGCGGAGAGACGCCCATCAGTCCATGTGTAAATGAAAATAGTGCAAGTTCCTCAACCAGGGATGGGTCAAAGGTGCTTGGAAATTAGGGTAATGGTGGAGCCAGAACAAATAAAAAAACAGAGGTTTCCTGGCCTTCCTGTGCATGCCTCCCTGCATTCAACTCATTTGCCTGCAGTTAAAAGGGAAGTGATTTTGCTGCTGTTCATGTCACATTGATAACTATCGTGACTGCCCCCATTCTCTCTGGAACCTTGGCCGCCCCTTTTAAGCGTCTGTTTAATTCAGAGAAGAGGAATCTTGATCTTCATTCAAGGGTGTCTTCCCTCTTGGTGCGGTCGATTCAGTTCTCCCAGTTACACGCAGCTCTGCACACGTTCTCACTCACACACGTCTGCACACACAAGACCCATGTTGGCCTCTGCACTGCTGAAGCTGTCATTTTAAAGATCTCCAGTAATAACCACGAGTCTGTTGTGCAAAGTTTGGCAGATACAATGTCAGGACCACAGCAGGGCGGTGGGCAGGGGTCTTTCATGGGAGGAAGGGAGGGCTTCCCTTGTGGAGTGCTGGCCACTCCTGTTTCCTGTTCTCTCCCCAGATCCTGATTCCGGCCCTGATGGTCACGGCGGAGAAGGACTTCGTGCTCGTTCCTCAGATGTCCAAGCACATGGAGGACTGGGTGAGGGAATGACCCTGCACAGGGGTCATCGGTGCCCCCCGGGAGAGGGCACGGGCAAGGGTGCTCAGAGGGAAGATGGCAGCGGAGGATACACCTTGTCATGTGGATGGGACCGCGGTTGAAGCCCTTCACTAACATCACTGTCCCCCGCTTGCAAGCAGCAACCGTGACTGTGCCTTCCTTTCCCCTGCATGGATGTGGGGTTTTGTTCACTCATTATTCCCTTCCTAAGTCATGCAGGGTTCGGGCAGGGTGGCCTGCGGGGAGCAGAGAGAAGGCGTCCATTGCCCGTTGCTCTAACCTGAGACACACCCATCTGCATTCTTCCATTTACCTTCCTGCATGGGGTTTCCTTTCAGATTCCCCACCTGAAAAGGGGACACATTGAGGACTGTGGGCACTGGACACAGATGGACAAGTAAGGAGGTTGGGGGCACCTGGGGTCAGGGAGAGCAGGGCCCCCTGTTCACCTTCCATAAAAGCTTTCCTGGTTTCATTGTGGTGGCTTTGGCCTGGCTTAGCCACTCATGTCACTCACCTCTGCCTTCGAGTTGGGTGGGGAGGCACAGACAAGTGTGAATGGCTTTGTTTTTTTTCTTCTCCCTTTCCTCCAGGCCCGCCGAGGTGAATCAGATCCTCATTAAGTGGCTGGAGTCTGATGCCCGGAACCCACCGGTGGTCTCAAAGATGTAGCACGCAGTGTGCATCCACGCTCAGCAGGTGTGCCGTCCTTCCGCCTGCTGGGGCACCATTCTTAGTATACAGAGGTGGCCTTACACACATCTCTCGTGGATGGCAGCATTGCTTTGAAGGGGTTTGCAAAAAAAAAAAAGATTTTCATTACATAAAATGAATCAAATTTGACATTATTTTAGATCCCAGAGAAATCAGGTGTGATTAGTTCTCCAGGCATGAATGCTTCGTCCCTTTATCTCTAAGAACCCTTAGTGTCCTGTGGGGGGACAGAATGGGGTGGCGAGGTGGTGATTTCTCTTTAACTGACCAATCCATAGTTTTGCAGAAAAATCAGCCGTTCACTGAGAAGAATCTTAGTAGAGATTGGGATGCGTTACTCAATAAAGCTAAGATGACTACGCTGCCGGTCGCTGTTCTTGGAGAGGTGGAGTGACTGTTCAAGGAGAATGCATGGCGTTGGGATGAGCCCTTTCTCTCTGCTTTTGAGCCCTGTTCTGGGCTCCGAGGTGCTGCGTGATCTAGGCCTTGCTGGCCAGGAGACACTTCTACGGGGATGGCAGTGTCTCTTGTGCTCTGTCCCCTAAAGCAGCCACTGGCCACAGGTAGCCACCTGCCTTTCTCCCAGCTTCCCTAGCAGATTTTGCTCAGGCACAAATGCGCACCTTGAGCATGCAAACTGTGCTAGTGAGGCTGAGGAAGCGAATTTTAAATTCCATTGAATTTTAATCAGTTTAAAGTTAAATAGCAGCAGCTGCCATGAGGCTCAGGCAGATCCAGCCCGTCTTCCCCTCTGCCCTCTCCTCCCTCCTGTCACATCCCGTTAGGTGCCTGTCTCACTGATGTGTCTCCCGCAGTGGTCTCTCCCCTGCCCTGCTTCTGGCCCCAGAGTGCTGGAGCAGCAGCCTCTTCACGGGTCTTGCCGCCCACGTGGTTGGATCCTGAACCTTGCAGGGCCTCCCCCACTGCCCCTGCCCACCCCAAGCCCGGCCCCATCACCTTCCAATTCCTAACTGCCCTC